TCACATGGGTTGGCTGGGTGAAATGCGGGAAAAATAATACAAATGGGCCTTTGTGTGAGTTTATGCCTCACTCATATTAAGTTGTTTGTAAACGGTCCATCCTAATTACCACAGTTTTAATTAATATATTTATGAGGTCTCGACAGATATATACACGAACATGTCTCTGAAGTGTTTGGCGCCAAAGACGAAAAACAGATCCGATTGATCCTCCCATAATCCCCTCTTTGTTCGCCCTGTTTCAAAAGTTCGGATTCTCGTCTTTACTTTAGATGAAAATAAGGAGCCCTCCCAGCCTCTGAGAGATATTTGGTTAAGAAAGAACACAATGGTGCTTAGAGAGATTCGGGTGATAATGGTGGTGAGGTGGGGTTACTGGTTGGGAATTGGCTAATTTGTTTACAGTCCAAAAATCGTGATACATCATAAAGTGCAAATCTGATCCATTTCAGACAGGTTTTTATATAAATGGATCAGGACAAAAGGGAGAGAATTCCTTTTTTTCCTGAAACTTTCAGAATCTCTTTACACAGAGGGGACACATGTGAGTAGAAGAGAACCATAAAAAGTGGATTTGCATAATAAGGTGAACCTTAATATATTCTTCAACTTAAACCTAATACGTTATAGTGAATGTGTGATTACAGTGCGACAGTCTCCACCATTTGTTGCGCAGTCCAGCCAAGGTTTGGGGAACCATTGTAGACTGTGGCACATGGACGTGCCTCTGTCTTTTTGGGTCTGGCTGTAGGCCCTTAGTCCCGCCCCCACTCCCCGCGCTGGTTCGCTGTCCAACCTGGATTGATCTCCGGAGCACAACGGATCTCTACCTTCAGCCATTCAGCTCTTTGCTATCCGCACAGCTGCGCGCACTTGCGTAGTTGCCCAGGTGCGTGCTAGGCACTGAACATGTACCGTGACCAGGCTGTCCAATTGGCAGTTGGCAGGTCCAGGGTGTTCGTAGAGACGAGGGGTTAGGGTGAGGCGAGGCAGAGGCAGCAGACCTCCTGTCAGTGGCGGTCTTCCAGAGTGTGCTGAGGACAAAGGGGCAAGGGTGGTGAAGCTCTGAGAGGCCGGAAACGCTCCCGTCCTCCCACCATCGAGATGTGGTTCTGCTGCCAGGTCCCAGGTCTTTTCAGTCTGGGAGAACTGGGAACACATGTTGTCCCGCAAAACCTAAGGGGAGACGAGAATGATTGGTGATTTACAATAGTGCAATCAACATGAGAATACTAACAAATAGCAAGGATCCTGCAACGACATTAGATTCTAATGTACCAAAATCAACTATGATGATACAAACAAATAGCAAGGATCCTGCAACGACATTAGATTCTAATTACCCAAAATCTGGACTGTTGCTAGTGTATTAGCTTCGAATTACCCAAAACCTGGACTGTTGCTCGTGTATTAGCTTCGAATTACCCAAAACCTGGACTCCCGCTAGTGCATTAGCTTCTAATAAACCAAAACCTTTTCAGTGCTGCAAAGAGAAATGAAAATTAGATTAAACCGATAAATTAGATACATTTGTTTTCAATCAATATATATGATATTCGGCTCCTTTGCTGCTCAATTTTCAATGGAAATGTGTCTGCACTGGGCAGCTGTCTGCTAATTTTCAAATGGGAATCATGAGAACGGTGAGACTCAACCAAAAGTTAGTTGTCAAACATTGTCCAAGACATCGTTGTTCGCTAACTTTTTATAGGCAAAGGCCCGATGAGGTAATATCACATAATGGGATGAGTTTATTCCGCAATTGAAACTGTAGGGCACCCCTAGGCCTATTGTAAACGCATAAATACTATGCACCTAATTACAATGAGTTGGCTTTAACAATCAGATTGTTGTTTTGCAATAATGTTTTATAATTCTTGGCAAAATCCAACAAAAAAGTTATAAAGACCTAGCTCGAAATACAATAAAATCCATTGTTTTTTCATTTGTTCCTTCACTACTCTCTAATTCAACAACCAGCTCTTTGAAATCGACCATTAACCGTAATTATACTCGTAATTGAGGGATTTTTGTCAGTGATTGGTCTACTCTCTATTTATTACCTCACAGGCAAAGCGGTTTGTTTTGTTCCTCTCAACACCTGTGACACATATCCTGTGTGCGCACTTAGTCATAAACAAACCTCACACACACACACACACACACACACACCCAGCAGGAAAATGTGTCTTTGATCTCGGCTCCAAATAAATGGTGTGCAGATGCTCATGCTAGCAACCAGCTAGGGTCGGCTTATTTACAAACTGGTTATATAAAACTGTACTAGACTTTCTCAGAACCTGCTAATTATTGTAAGTTGTGTCTCATTAGACCCCCTGCTACAGTCAATTCACACATGTCATGCCTCTTTAAACGTGCATGAGCAAGTAGAAAGTGCACTAGTACATACCTGAATCTTATTTCTTGCCAGCAGCAGGTGGTGAATATCTTTAGGCCAGTGTTGCATCACGGCCGTCAGCTGCTTGTCCTGGCAGTCCAGGTACTTCTCTCCGGCCTCAATGTATTCCTTACACTCCTGAGTTTGACGTCTCATCACTCCTGCCCTGTCTCTGCCCCGCACCCGGCCCCTCGCACCCCTCTCCATAGCCCCTGAGCGAGGGCCTCTCCGGGGCTCAGCTGACCGGAGGAGCAGCAGGAGGAGGAGGGTTATGAGGAGACGCATTATGGGAGAGGAGACGAGGTAATCGGGTCAACCTCGGAAGACTGTTGTCGGAAGATTGGCGTGACGGGACACGGGAGGCCCGTCACAGCTGTGTGCAGAGAGAAAAACAGAGGGAGAGGTGAGGTTTGACTTGTTTTGGGTTGCGTAGGATTTTTTCCTGGCTCTGGCTAACTCTGTTTGACTAATTACACTGGAGCTAACGTAAACATATAAATTGTGTTATTAAAGTGTTTCTTTTTATTCGTCCTGTGTTCCAAAACTATGGAAAAACTTTCACTTAACCCAGTAAGACATGAACCAACGTGACGTTCACCGTTGGTCATTTTTGTCACCCAAGTACTTCTGATGGCAGGCAATGCAAGACTGACAAACGACACAATAACAACGGGAGGTGTCAGAAATGAATAAATCTTTAACTTGGTTGAATGATAGATAACATTCGTCTTGAGGCTCTGTAGTGATTTGCCAAAAAATGTAAAGGTAATACAGCGGTAAGTCAGAAAGTTTGACCTGACGAACTCTGTATCGATTTTTGATAAATGTCCATAGTTTCCGTACTTCCTCTTTTGACCAAACCTTCCCCTAAAACTAAAGATGAAAACCAAATAAAAGTTCTGCCCACGTCATTTCTTAGAGATAGTAATATTTGTACACGTTTGCTCACGTCCGAGCTACTATAGCAAGCAAGCAATGATAATGGCAAAGTAGCTATGGGTTAACAATGCAAACATTTTTTACACCTTTCACCATTTTCACCAGTTTACAGTTCATTTTGAATCTACAAACGACCATATTGTACGTAATAACAATGACAGAAAATGGGACAGAAAACATTCTAACCTTTGTTTAAGTCTAATATTAAATGATTGATCAATTGGTGAAAATAAAAAGCTGGACAGAGTGTTATATTGTGAGGGAAATATTTGAAAGGTTAAACGGTAAAGAAAAGGAATATAATTGTATTTACATATGTAATCAAACGTACAGGCATTTCTCATGGTGGCATGTTGAGACTTGCTGACATCTAAATGGTAACACTGCACATGTTGAAAGAATTAGCGGAGAGGTGGAGCGAGAGGAAACAGGATAGGGGGTTTGAAGGAAAAGAAAAAAGCGACATTTGTTACGTGTTAACATATTATGGGCTAGAGTGTGGTCGTAGTAAAGTTGCAGTTTTCTTTCATGGATATCCCATGAACTTCTTCTTCAATCAGCTAATCAGACCCCAAGGTTTCGCTTTCCATCTTTTCCTACAAGATTATTTTCAAGCCTGTTCTCTCGCTCTTCCTCGAACCCCTGCTGTCCTATCATCTGTACTGGCAAATTGTGGGAAATATGGTAACTCCAAGACTTGAGTTATTGATATTTATGGATACAAGGGGTTCAAAAATTGTGAGTCATGCGTCCCTTGTGCGATCAGGAGCAGAAAGTCCAGGTCCACATGTTTGCCAGAACACTGTACAGACACACACACACACACACACACACACACACACACACACACACACACACACACACACACACACACACACACACACACACACACACACATGCTGACTCAGTCCAACTGTACCAAACCGCAGCCTCCTCACAGTCTTCCAGACTCTCACACAGTGGAACAAGCCCGTCAATGCAGATGGTCTCGTTCCATTGTGAATAACAGACTGGGCATGTTAGCTATCGACAGACAGAAACAGCTGAGAATGTACCAGGGGAGACCCTTTCCAGTCTATTGACAGTCTACAGTCCAACTTGCAATCATCTCAAATGAAGCGAATATGAAAGTTTGATTCCCCTTCACTGCAGCCGTCCATGCAATAATACACTTCTAGTGAGCTGTTACCCCAAACCCATCGGGACCAGAATGAATTTGCTCATGTGTTCATGTGCATGGGTCCTATACATCAACACCAGGCAAATGTTCTTGCATGATTGTGCGGCTGATGAGAGACAGGTGAGACTTGTGCCAGTCCAAACTCTGGATGAGACTGAGGTGGAAAGCATGGACATGGGTCTTGAGCGGACCCAGACACTTCCTCTGAGTAAATGCTTTCAGGTCAATTTCATTTGGTTTGGTACAAGTGTTTTATAAACAGTACTGTGATGTAACTGTACCATTTGTCTTGTGCAGGTTAATGGGTAAAGTGTGGCATGAATTGCATTACAATTCATAAGCAATCTAAGAACTCCCAAGCTATCAGTCAGAACAAACAAGAACAAATAATATTTTTTGGGGTTTTGCTGTATCCATTCGATATCTGGACTTTCTTTTCCAAAGTCATTGTTTTTCAGTGTGATTAGTAACTTGGAGTTCAGAGAAAACCTTTCAGGACTTCATTGTTAAAATCCAGTCTACAAACTAATAAAAAGTTAAATAATTAGGAAACAACATTCAATTTTGGTCAATGCATTCGCCTGTTTTTCTCTCTGCACAGACTGTTAATATGTATTATTTTAGCAAAGCCTGCTGGAACGTAATAGTTTAATACAACTTGGACTCCTAACCAGGACGCTTTTCATACCAAACTGTTGTCCTGTTGCCAATAGATTCTGCATTGATATACAGTCATCTGTTGGAAATATACAAAATGAATTTGTGTATAAACCATGTAACTGTGAGCAAGGACATGCATGACTGCCTCTAAAGACCTTGCATTGTTATGGTGTATGGATGGATGGCCAAGAAATAGCTGTTGACATTGACTTGTGACATACTTTAGTTATGTAACATACCTACTTAACCCTAACCTAACCCTAGGAAAATATTGTTGTTTGGGTTGGTTATGTAACATAGCTACTTAACTAACCCAATAACCCAAACAGCAATATTTTCTTAAACCTAATTGAGTAGTTTTGTTGCCTAAAAAAGGTTTTGCACTGCAGGGGTTTGTCAACAGAAGTCGATCAAACTGAAAATATTGAATTGTACGTTTAAACAAGCTAAGGGAACTGTTCACTTTTATTGCACATTATAAGTTTATTTTGAGATCAATCAACTTGCCTTTTAAGTCACTGAACCCTAAACCTGTTGAACTATTGCTGGCACTGCTCAGATTTTTCCACATCACATCTGCTCACCAGAAAAATGCTAGCCCTTCTTAGAAATATCTAACAACGGTCAGCCTGAAGGTCCAAGACACATTCCAGCTGGGAACAACAACAAGTCCAATCCTATTGGGTCACCTCGTGCCCCTATCAGCTCGAAATTAGCCATTCCAGTCTAGTATTATTACCCACCCCAGCTCCTTCTGGCAAGTCTTTTCCAACACAAAGAAACCCGTCTCCGTGCCTGTAGACGTTGACCAGAAAGCCCTCAGGGTTTCAGTTACTTCCCCCAGGGGAGTTGCTCTAAATGCTAGGCAGACTGTTGTTTTACTGCCACTGTCATCTGTATTGAACCAGCATGAAGTTTGGTAGCAATCTGTCTCTTATTTTAGAACATGGAAAAATAAGCATTTGGGAAAAATCAGAAAAAGATGGAAAGTGATTTGTCTGCTTTTTATGTGCATGTAAGGACGTTAGCATTTGGCTAAAGCAATGCTGTATGTACGGCCTCAAAAAAGTGTTAGCATGGCTAGCTTTGTTATTTATAATGCAGTCAAGTGCCTTACAAAGCTCCAGATAGCATCAGATATTTAACAAGTTCTCTAACGTAGTCAATCAGACTCTTATTTCACTATTTGACTATTTTATTTTTTGTATTTACTTGCACTATTTCTTCTGTGTTTCTGTTTTATTGTGTTGCACTGTTGGTGGAGCCTGGGACCTAACATTTTCATCGTCATAACTACACTGTAGCTATGTATGTATGACTAATAAAAGCCTTGAACTTTGATTAACGTGTACAATTCTTTAGCTAACGTTAGATATATTACATTGCATGTTACTTAGACGCTTTTATCCAAAGCAACTTACATACTCAATACTGTGGGCAATCCCCACAGGAGCAATTTGCGGTGAAGTGTCTCAGGGACACAACGACATGCTGACCGCAGTGGGGTTTGAACCTGTGCTCCCCTGATCCGAACACCAACACACTAGCCTACTGCGCCACACATATATACATTTGACAAATGTTATGTTCTTATTGTTTAATGTTCTTAATCCCAGACAGAACAAATGAGTAACTTCAGTGGTGTGGTGTTTCGTCAATTGTGTTAGTTGTGTTTTATGTCTGTCATTCCATGTTTAGTCAGGTATTTATGTCATTCCAAGTCTAGTCAGGTATTTATGTCATTCCAAGTCTAGTCAGGT